TTGTTATTTCACAATCTAAGATGCTGTAAAATTATACTCCCAAAGAAGTCCTACTATTTTGTAATTCTTCTTTACCAGTAAAATGTTTATTTAAAAAGATATTAGTACTATACATATTTCGTAAGACTATGTCGGCCCTATCATTCTCACAATTTGAATTTTCTCATGGTATTCTTTCAGTTTTAAGCTAGATTAATCAATAGGTCTGGCACAAACTCAAAATGAGAATACCCTAATTGCCATATGAGATTATTAAAAGGCTCTGAAACAAGAATCAATCAAGCTTTCCAAATTCACCCAAGCTAAAGAAGGTATTTAGATAATACCAAACTGGGAGAAAATAATTACGGAAGATTAACTGAACTTGACAGAAATATTAAGTAAAATAAAAAATAAATGGCATTTTAATTCGATACCATTGTAACTGTGTTTTCCAAAATACATTTTCCTTAGAAAACTATCCCCCTCCATATTTTCACTTACTTTAAGAAGTATCTCTGACCAGAAGATGTCTTCGCCATCTCCCAGCCTGCTGGCAGAGGTACATCGTCAGGTATTTCAAAAGAAGACTGTCGAAGGTGCTGAGCAGTGGGGGTAGCTGCTGGGCCAGAGACCACTCCTGTGGGGGTCAGTGTCCCAGGGGACACAGCTCCCAGCTGCAGTGAGGCTGGAGAGGAATGAGCTCGAACGTGCTGTGGAGTCAGGGCTCCTGCAGTGCCTGCATCAGTACTGGCCTATAGGAATATTAAAATGAAAATTTAAAAATTGTTTTTAAGTAGTCCCTTTAAATTTCCTAGATAGACTTTCATTGCAACCGAATATCTAAGTACCAAAGGCAAATTTCAACATTTAATATGTGACAGAGAGAAATACAGGTATGCAGATGGGTATTTTTAAAGGTTTTATGTAATTGTAATATGTACTTTTACAAACATTTATAATTTTATTGATGAGCAATCCATTTAAGTGAATTTTCTACCTACTACACATTTGATGTGCTTTCTACATATTTTAAAGACAAATAGTACAGAATGAATGAAACAGCCCTAAAATAATAAATTTTGAATTTTAAAACCTAATTTCTATAAGGTCAATGAAGTATGGGTGCTTTCCCAAGTTTTAAAATGTTCCAGGTATAAATGTAAGCCAAGGAACATAACTGCAATTTTTTCACTAGCTAATATTTAAGTACGTAGTTAATTTTTTTTCTAAGCTAAGCCCTAAACACATGACAACTGTCATTTTTTTCCTCATCATGGACAAATGCCATCAGTAAAACAACCATCACAAGTTATATAACTTTTAATGAATGCAAAAGATTTAGAACTAGCCAAATGTTCTTAAAAGCCACCTAACGAATGAAAATCCAACTATATTATTTGTACCTAGATAATAAAGATGTCAACAGTTCAATTACAACATAACTTAAGAACTTACACATACATATACATATGAATAAATTTACATCCAATAGTTTGTGGATATTATTTACAACCCATACACTATTCATAATTCAGTTATTTAAATTCCATTATTAGAATTAGGGACTGATTACCAGAAAGTTAGAATTTCCTAGATTCATATATGCAAGGAAGGGAGATTGGAAGCAATCAGAGGCATTTATGCCTTAAAGTCATGTACATTTCTGAGTTTCCAATCAGAATATATTTGAATTAGGAAATCATCAGCAAAAATAAGTCAAACTTACAGATGCACATCGCTTAAGAAACTTATTAAAAACAAATCTATATTAGACAGTCAGTAGTATAAACCAATAAACTGCTGGATATAAATTCTTGTGCAATTAGACTTGCAGCGGTTCTCAACCTGTGGGTCGCGACCCCTTTGGCGGTCGAACGACCCTTTTACAGGGGTCGCCTAAGGCCATCCTGCATATCAGATATTTACATTACGATTCATAACAGTAGCAACATTACAGTTATGAAGTAGCAACGAAAATAATTTTATGGTTGGGTCACAACATGAGGAACTGTATTTAAAGGGCCAGAAGGTTGAGAACCACTGATAGAGTATACTTTTTAGCTGCAATTATGTGGGGGCATATAGGTGCCACAAAATGGGGAATTCAATCTCCTATGTGTATTATGCTTTCAAAACATATTAACTAGCAGCATAGCCCTGTCGTTTGTAGAGTGCAATGCCAACACACATTGACCCATGAGTCCAGAAACCCACTTCCAGGAGTAAAAGAAAAAGGCATAAAGTCTACTTCTGACAAATTGAAGTATTTAAGCAAACGGCTAAATTGTTTTTCCTTTCTCCTTCTTAACCCAGGTTTTTGCCAGCAGGTTAAGTGAGTTTTTCTGAATTCCAAAATCCCTTGGTCTGAGGCAGGAGAACACACAACAGGCTTGCAAAAAGGTGGGGGAATGGGAATGGGAATGGGGCTTGATAACTCTTCTTCTTCTCACTCAAGTTACAGCCCAAGTGGACTAACGACATCGCAGAATTTGGAAAACCAATCAACTTTTGGGCAAAGTTCCTAAGCTGAAATTTAGCCTGAAGCAAGTTCTTTTTTAAGATGAAGAAACAAAGGAAAAACCTACACTCAACCACTCCACGGGGACCTATGGGGATGTGAGCGCTTTCCTAATAGTTTCACTTCAGCGCCGCATCCAGTGGACCAAGTAATCGAACGCCTGCTGTGTGCGCCACAGTCACGCTCACGTCCTCAGTGAGAAACGAAAAGGCAATGGCGAGCCTCGGATTAGTCATCGCTTCCCCAACAGTAACTTTTAATCACAGCTGAACCAGGCAGGCAGGACTCGGCCGATGAGTCAACCTGCCCTGTGTTCTCCGAGGCACCGGAATGCGCGGCGCGGGGCCCGCGCAACGTGCAGATGCGGCTCATTCCACCGCATTTCGGTGAATCACCGCAAATCACGGTCTACAACCGGGACACCCGCACGTGAGCCTTCCAGGTTCGAGGAGAGAGAGCCCGCCCGCCCGCCCGCGTTCCAGGGAACAAGGGGAGGCGAGCGAGGGGCCAAGGCACCAACTCCATAAACAACTTCCAGGAAAGTCTGGATCCTGTGATCAGAAAGGGCCGGGGCTGCGAGGACAAGAAACGCTCTCGGGAGCGGGAGGGGGAGGGACAGCCCGAAACGAGGGGACTTGGTTCCACCCCTCCCCAACCCCCCCACCCCCCGCCCCGCGCGCCCCTAATCAACCCTGGGAAACAAGAGAAACAATTATCTGACTCCCCCGGGAAGTCGGGATGGGAACTGGGGGTTCTCCTAGGACAGGGGGCTTCGGG